GGGGGGGGGGGGGGGGGGGGGGGGGGGGGGGTGCAAAATTCTGAGTACCCCAGCTTTGGCGATTTTTCATTCTTATTTCCGGTGATGAAAAAAATTGAAAAAGTCAGGGATGTAGATTAGGTTCCGCCGCATGCGGGGGGGGGAGGGGGGGATGTAAAAGATAGACAACTGTGTTCATGATAGAACATGCTGTAGCTGCCCCCAACCTGCAGGTGGGCGATACTTGCCAGGGGACAGCCAGTAGCATGAGGGACCATGCCAACAGGACCAATCCCTGCACCTCCCCTCCGGTCCCCTCCCCTACCCTCTGCTACTCAATACCGATCGGTGGATCTCTAGGTGGCGGGTGGTAAGCATGCCCAGGAAGGTACATGAGGTCAATGGGGATTTGAACCCAAGATCTCCCAAATGCCACTTGCGAGCCTTATCAACTGAGCTCGGCAGTTATGATTAGGAATAGTAGTAGGTAGGTAGAGAAAAATCGCCTATAAAAAAAAGATATTTGTGTCTGCAAGGAATGTGAGCGAGAGCGATAGACAGAAATCCAAGTTGCAAAATCGCGAAGTAGCTCAGAGAGTCATGAGTCAAGCAGAGATTGCAATCCACCAAGATACCGTCCAAATAAGAGCAATACAATGAACTCGAATGTCAATGTTGCCACTCTCTGTTCGCACCAACACTGTATCCAATGGCGCACTTACCGTCTGGCTCCCAGCGCCCAGCCTATCCTACTCAGCCTATCTAATCCCATCTACGTTCTCGCAACTGGATCGCTCTGAAGTCAAAGACCATTGTACGTGACGTCAACACCAATGCCGATCACCAGCATACACCAGGTACGTTCTCTCTCCTCTTGTCATCACCCCTCGTTTCCCCACAGCACGCGCCTCCTACCCGAAGACCACCTTCGCCATCACATTCCTGGCACCCCTGCAGCCCGGCTATGGCTTTCCCCTTGCAGCCGCCCTCACCTCAACGCCCGTGCGCGCGTCTGACCAGCAGCGCCCATGCAAACACTTGCGCAGCAATGCAGCAGCTTGTTCGCATTGCCTGCCTAGGCCAGAATCTCCCTCCCTGGGCTGGTCTCTTTCCTTCTTTCCTTCATGGAAAGTGCAGGCCCTGTGTGTGTCTGCCTGGGCCTGGCTGGGGCAGTTTCCAGTAGCTTCCAGTCAGGCCTCAGTCTCTGCGCCCAGGCCCACCTCTACAGTTAAGGGCCTGGGCCCTTTTCGGTTGGACACGTATAGGTAGCCTCCCAGGCTCCAAGCGTTGGCCACATTCCTTGGTTCATGGAGATTGTGTGACGACAATGCTGCTTTCTCATTTGTCCGTGGCCGCTGCGTGATGTGTTGGCCTCACGCTGCGTGTGCTCAGGCCGCAACCACCCGGCCCTCGGCTCAACAGTAGAGCGCCGTCCTTGTTTTCTGGAAAGAGCCTGGAGGCTCACGTTTCCTGCAACCAACTGGCATGCTGCAACTGTCTGTGTACCCACATATGGAAAATGTCGAGGATGGCCCGCCTTCACTTAGGGCGGGCACAAGGCTTTCGGGGCCCACAGCCGAGAACAATTGCATGTCTGTTAGGGCCCCGTGAGGGCTCAGTCCTCACATGCCAAACTGAATCCGTAGTCCGATTGAAGTCCTTGTGACCGGGTGGGAGTGACGTTTCAGGCCAGGCAGGCCGTGGCAGCCTGGCAGGTGATTTTTTTTTCGGTCCGACAAAATAGGCTGGTTTGCAGTGGTGGTTTGAATAATTTCAACAAGTAAAAAAAAATAATAATAAAAAAAAATCAACAAGTGTCAATATCAGTTTCTTAAAGAGCGGCAACGTGTTCAGGCCCTCAAGATAACACTCAAAATCTAGGAAGGGGAATGAGAAAAAAATATAAATATAGGAAGCGCAATCAGAAAACATGGGTAGCACCACAATTAGGTATATTCCCACGTAAGCGTAGTACGTGTACTCTAGATGCCCGTGTGCATACGTTATTAAAGGAAAAGAATCAAAAGATCTGTAGAAAAGGTATGAAACATTGAAAAAAAAAAGAAAAAGGTATGCAACATTACGATACACAACTTCATCTAGAGTTATATATCGCATCAGAAATGGTTTGCCTCGAGGTCATCTCCAAGTTCCAAACTTGATTTCAAAACAACTCCAAACAAAAAGGAAAAAATCATTTTAAAATGTATGCTCGTGTGTCCTGGCGAGCACGTGTCACTTTGACGAGTAGGTGTCCTCGTGTATGAGACACACTTCCATGTACGCCATGCTACCCAGCACTAAACAACAGTCAAAAGGATACGAAAAGAACAAACCTCCATACACGTACACCATGCTACCCGGGCATGAGTACGTGTACTCGTGTACAGGAGACCTGTGTACATGTGCCTGCTTGAGATTGAAGGTAAGAAGAGAAGAAGATTCATCTTTTCGTTTTCCTTGAGCCTTATTCGAAGTAGTTATGGGTCTGTGCATTGGGCCTCAGACCTTCTCCCTGCAAGCAGGGACTTGAACCAGCGCCCTCGGCCACAAGAGCCAAGTATCTTAACCAGTACAGCCAGGAGAGGTGTCTGAAAGCGGAACCATACGGGCCATGATATCCACCGCACCCCTGCAAGGCTGTAGTGTCCAACTCACACACACCACGCAGAACACCACACGGACACGGCAGTCTTGCACAATTTCACTCCAATCAGCACTTGACTCTTTCCCCCCCCACCGCCTCGGTGGGTGGGATTGGTATCTGGTGTTTTAGCAGAGGCTTTGAATGACTACTTAAGTACAGATTCGGGGGGCGAGTGCGTGTGTTATGGGGTGACGCGTTTTTATGTATATTGCTCGGTTGGGTGGCAGCTTCATCCTTTTTATTTGTCATTCCATTCTACAAGGAGTTTCTGGCATGAAGGAGTCTACTATATTTTGTGTCTACAAGATTCTCAGCTTCGTGACGACTTTTCATTTTGACAAACTGTTGAATGGGTGATCTATGCATGCGCAGGTTTGAACGGGAGCGAACGTGCCCCCTTTGCAGGGCGGTGGTGAAGCAAGCCGGCCTGCGGTCGTTTGGAGATGGGACGACAAGCCTGTTGGCACAAATATTCTAAGAGGCTCAGCATTTGCCACAGAGGGTAAAGCTGCATCCGAGCTTAATCGATGTGTTCGGCATTGTTCGCAGTCGTCGTCAATATTTGTGCATCCGAGCGTTGACCGCTGTGGTAGAGAGGGTAAGCGCGATGGATGTTCGCGGTCGAGAGCTGGATCTTATATTCCTGGCATTTCAGGAACCTCCTCCTCTTGAATGGGTACTCTCTGCAGCAGAGCATTTGGCGATGATTTGCATCTGACAGTCGGGAGAAAGAGGTTGGGGAAGGGATGTGCGCGCACTCGGGCGTGCGGAGGAGATAAGGCGCAACAGCTGAAAGATGGATGTAGGCCTCGTCAATCGGGCTGTGGCTGTACAGGGGGACATTATCGTGCTTTCCTCGTCCTGCTACTCATAGTTTGTATTGCCGTAATTCTTCAGTCGGAACATCTGACCATGGCTGTGATCAAGGGTTGGGGTTAGGGTTTAGGGTTAGGGCGGAGGCAGCGGACCCATTGGCCGTGGATGTGCGCATGGTTCTCGTTGTGCGCCCCCCAGTGCGAAAAGACGTCAGCGACTTGATGGCCTCTTGACCTGCGCGCTCGGAGACCTGGTCACTCACTGGTCATTGGTTATGGGAGCTGCTGGTGGGGCAAGAGATATGAGATGATGTAATGAATATGCAACTATGAACATATATATATATACATACATATATATATTGTAGAGGGGGGGACTTGGTTTCTGGCCATTTTTCAATATCTGTTTATGTTTCACAGTTGCTAGGCCTGGGCCTTCTCCACTGTGCTTTGATTGCGGTCCCTGCTCAATTCCGTTTGCTGGCTATGTTCCGATGATGGAGAATTATGCGTTGCGTTCGTTGCCTTTGTGTTGACAGGACCGATCATCAGATCTTTACACCTTGCCGGCAATCGCTATGGTAATTGAGGGCATACTCACACTAAACTTTTTCACTCATCTCTGTTTGTAATTGCGGTTGGACACTTCCAAGCAGGGCCATGATTACGGTCAGATGCATGCAAGTAGGGCCGTAATTACGGTGAGATAAGATTGTGCTAGTGTGAGTATGCTCTGCTTCATTCAGCAGTGATTAATGTCAGTATTTCATCTCTCTGGCGTCAGGAGAGAGATGCTCATCAGTTTACGTTCTTGCGTGTTCTTTTCTTTCGTGTAGCTTGTGTTTCACCACACTGTTCAAGTTCCCTCCTCCTCCTCGTCCTCCTCCTCCTCCTCCTCCTCCTTCTCCTCCTCCTCCTCCTGCTGCTGCTGTTGCCAAACCCTCCTTCCTGGCAGGAACTGTTGGCTAGTGTCTGCTCACAGCTCGCTCAAATCTTTAACCGAAGTCGATCCGTCTGTTGTCTCCGATTATGATCCCTTGAAAGACGGTAGGATGCCATGCATCTGTACTATAGCTTTGCATTGGCAACCTTGATTGGATGTGTAGGGATAGGTGGGAGGAGGTGGGAGGATGTCGTCATTTATTACTACCACCAAAAAGTGGATCCCGGATTTGGGGTCCAGTGCAACTCTCATTACCCCATGCAGCAGACCTCACAGCATGTGGCGAAGTGACTTGGTGGTGTCTCCCGCTGCAGCCACAGACAAACTCCCAGTCAATGTATGTATGCCAGCTGTCAATCCATTATCTTTTCTTCTGGGCTTCGTTCATTTCTCGATTTATGTGTGTCATCCTTGCGCAGGGGCAATGGTAATCTTCTACGTGCCTTTCCCATTTTGACGGATGTCCCGAAGGACTTTTGGCCTTCCGTATATTCGTTCGAATCTTGAATCTAAGTTTGCCAAAGCGGCTGTGCGGCGATGTGCACCTAGTTCGTAGTCTGCACTACTTACTAGGCTGCACAAAGATGCATCCTCACTGCCCAGGGCAAGGCGGCACTATGGTTATGTGAGCAAGCAATTCCTTCGAAACAAAAGGGGACCGGGACACGTCAGAAGTATTTCTGACTACGGAGGTCAGGCTCGGAAGATGTGCTGCCAAGTGAGAAGGGACATGCTAAACCATTTGGACCCTTGTTCTGTCCCTCCTTTTGCGTTAATCATTATTGCAGGCTATCTCGGGGCTGGTAGGTGGTGAGGTGAGCGTGGAAGTGTGATAGTTGAGCTCAGAGCCTGAGACCATGTGCCGAACACGAGAACCAGCTATGATGATGAGGGGTGTTATTTGAAGAAAGAGATTTGGCACGAAGATGCTATCCGTCCGTATTCCTGATGTGCAGAACATGGATGCTTTGCACGTGTAATTACACTCAGCCTTCTTCTCTCGAAGGATGTGTTGTGTGAAATCAATTGTCCAGATGAAAGAAACCACACTCTTGTTTCTGTCTGCGAATCTCGTAGCCATGGTGTTGTTGTTCTACAGAGGCTTTTAGTCGTCCCAAAAGGCTCCCTATCCTTCCGCTCGTATGACGTGGCTGGCTTGAGAAATGAAGGCCGCACACATTTAGCCTGACTTGAGTCATATTTCTGCATCCGGGGGAGCCGCCTCGTGCAGAATGTGACGTTTACGAAGGCCATCCTCACTAATTCGCGTGCCAAGTCTTCGCCTCCTCAACTGGGTCCCACTTGGTGGTAGAGGTTTCTGACTCGCTAAGCGGCGGTGTGCATGAAGTAAAAGTGCCGAGCACACAAACATTGTGCTAGGCGATTGTCGTTACCTCAGAACAGCCCCATGGAATTGAGATGTGTTGTAGTTTTTTGCAAAACAAGTGCTTCAGCCCCCACTACTCAGGTCATACCTGCCTGGCAATTGCCGATGGCCTTGCGTTTTGCTAAACCGCCAATCTAAACCTCTCCCTGTCGTTGTTCGTTGCCTCTCTTTGAACCGTCGAGGATATGCAACAACAGTGTTGCAGATGGTACTCTGCATTTGTTGTTGCTGTCAACGCTATCTGGCTGGCTAAGGGCCAAAACTGGGTTGAAGCCTGTTATAGCATTTTGTTCACAGAAAAGCGCAGAGAATGGGGTGGTAGTCCGTCGGCATTGTGCGGCAATGGTGGACGCGTGTGTTTTTGTGCATGAAATCAGTTGCTATTGCGGATCGTATGCACGCTGAAGTGTGTAACCTGAACTGAGCCATACGCCTGTATGATTTATGCTCTCTTCTCGTAGAAACTGTCAGTGAGAGAGTAAGGGGTTGGTGCAAAACACCTTTGGTGGACGCGCGTTTTGTGCATGAAATCAGTTGCTATCTCGAGTTGTGCTGCCAGCATCAGGGGTTGGTGCGAAACACCTTTGCAAGAAAGATATTGTAGCCATTGAAGTGATAACTTAGTGCTGTCGGAAAATATGGTCAACCTGGACTAGTTGTGAAATGTACAAGCAACCCCGGACCACACATAAGGGACATGCTGAGCTCTTGGGGGGTTATTTTATACGTGTGTGGGGGTGTGGGTCCTGGGATGTGCATGGATGTGCATTTCGTGTGATGGCAGGGCTGGTGGTGGTGGTACGGGGCACATATGCATGTGTGTGTGTGTGTGTGTGTGTGTGTGTGTGTGTGTGTGTGTGTGTGTGTGTGTGCGCGCGTCGACTCTGTTTGTGACCTGTCCTGTCGCGATGTTGTGTAGGATGGGTGGTGTGTAACTGGATGAACATGCATACAGATCGAAGAGAGAATGGGAGAAGGGTATTGGTGGTAGAGTCATGGACATTTGGAAAAGGATAGCGAGGGGGTATAAAAGCAGAGGTAGGGGTGGGGGAGGGGTGGATGCTGCAGGGTATGATGTTCCAAATTGCAAGCGTATAATCCCAGGGAAAAGCAGCCAACGGCTCGACTTTCGGTGCATGAGTTGTTTCTTTGTGCACTGGACATCGGACTCCTTATCTCAGGTTCGCCCACCTGCCTTTGCAGTTAAGTAAGGTGTAGCGTACTATGGAATTGGCGACCTGGTGGGAGTACTTGGGTGGTTCCAGATATTCCGGCTTTCGTACTTCTGAAGTAGGGTTGACGTTTACAGTCGCGTTAACAAAATGTGTGATTACATTCATTTGATGACATTGTGCATGACGTGGATAGTTAGCTTGTGTTGGCATCGGAGGAAGGTATAGTTTGGCCGACAATTCGCGCACTGGTCTCATCGTGAGCGGAAAATCCGGAAAGCGTTCACTGTTATTCCCAAAGCTTCGTCGATAATAATAAGGGTCTATACTCCATTCAATTTGTGCAGCAGTTTCGACGTGAGCGGGAAATCTGGAAAGTGTTCGCTGTCATTCCTACGGCTTCACCGGTAATAACAAGGGCCTATACTCCGTCCAATTTGTGCATCGGTTTCCACGTGAGCGGGAAATCCGGAAAGTGTTCGCTGTCGTGCCTACAGCTTTGTTGCTAATCTGGACCTAGTGATTTGCCTGAATACCCCGACGGATGCTTCTATCATTGAAGGTGAAAAGGCAGGTGGATGCTGGATGTTGCATCAGGTCCACGGTGACAGGGGGAGGGATGTGAGTTGTTGGATGCGAGAGAGGGGCGGTAACTGAGGTCGGCAAGATCGGTGGCCGGAGAGACGAACGTAAAGAGCACTGCGAAGGACTATGATGTTTCTGGATTTTTAAATTTTGTAATCGGTTGGGAAGGAAGCAGAGACTGCCTCTTTCCTTCGTCGGGCAATGTGCGGTCTTCCTATGCCCCCCTTCAACGCCAGCATGGCACTGGTTTCATGCTGTAACTGACACACATTTTTTAAAGAAGTGCTTGATGCTTTGTTGTGTGTAGTACTGCGTACCTCAATCTCTCATGTCTTGGTGTGTCGGATTGCTTTCTGTCTCCTTTTTTCTCTCTCCGTCTCCTCCATGTGTCGCTATACTCCTAGGGTACAAGAGTGGCCCGGGACCACTTGTGCAGCTGGGCCAAAAAATATATTTTATTTTATTTTTTATTTTATTTTTTATTTTATTTTATTTTTTAATTTGGTAAAGAATCTCGATGTGACCCTGAGGCAAAAGTTTTTCAGTTTATTTTTGTGCATAACATAGTTTGTTCTCGGTTTATTTTTGTGCATGACATAGTTTATTCTCGGATTTTTTGGATTTTTTTGGGCCCCCCGCGGCCCCGCCCCCTTTTGTTGGAGCGATGGCTGCAATGCAGATTCATTCTCATTTTGCACATTTGGTGAGTAGTGGAGCAATGGCTGTCCCTTCATAATGTCAGAGATCAACATGTTATAGCTCCCTGGTTCGGAGGAATACGCTCATTTGATTGGTTTCAGGTCACTTTGACAAGGGGGGGAAAGGAAGGAGCCTGCACCCGCTCTCATAGTCAGCATCAACTTGAATTCGTACAAAAAAGAAATACGACAACTACTGCCAGTGGAATACTTTGTTGTCTCTCACTTTGTGAATGGCAGGAAAGGGGGGGGATACGGGGGGGGGGGGGGGGCTTCCTTCCTTCCCCCCCCCCCTTTCGGCTGTGCCAGTATTTTTACTGACGAATTCTGGATCATTGATTGCCTTTTGAAGGTGGGGGGGATACGGGGGGTGGGGGTGGCGCAGATGCGGCCCAGGTCAGGGGAAGGTGTACTGTGATGGCTGGCTTCTGTAAGACGACGGGTTGTTATGAGGAGCTGTGATGAATTTTTTTTAAATTTATTTTTATGCGATGAAATTTTGCCAGGCAGTGTTTCATGAAGTTTGGAAAAGGAGCGGAAGAGGTTAGACGGGAAGGAAGCTTTTTTTTTTTTTTTTTTTTTTTACAAAAACGTGCTCCATCTATTGGTGGGGAGCAGCACCTGCTGGAAACCGGGTCCAGCGTCCCATAGATACAACCATATCCTCACAAATTGGCACGAGCTGGGAACTGGGCCCAGTGTCCCATGACGAGTACGTTCAGAAAAATCATCAGGAAATTTCATGACAATGACACTAGGAACCTACCTGTCGAAGTTTTCAAATGGGCACTGGGAAGAATATTCATTCCCGATTCATCAGAAATTGTCTTCGTCAGCCATGAATCTGTGGAATACAATTACCCTAGGTGCCCCGCTGTGGTTGCATTCACACCCACAGTAGTACCTTCTGACCCCGAACATAACACGTATGTGTTGTATTCGAGTTTTCAAATTTGAAAGTAGACTAGCTTTCCACCCCGGGCGCCGGGGCCACCCCAGGTCGCCCGGAAGGGTGCTCGGGGCGCCCGGCCGTGCGACCCCGCTGGCCAGGCACCCGGGCCCCCTCAGCGCCACTCCCCAAAACCACCGAATTTTTTTTTTTTTACGCTGGGGGCCTATGGCCCAGACGGGAAAAAAAAAAATGGCGGTGGCCACAATTTCGGGGTCCGGTAGGCCCAGTTTCATGTTTAGTTTTTTTTTCCCGCCTGGGCCGTTGATCTGCATTGATCGACGGCGCCGAAGTTGTGAGATTTTGAATTTCAATCTTGGGACTCCGCGCGCGGCTCTGTGCCCTCCGCCGGACTACTCCACGTGCTAGTTTGTCGTCGCCTTGCCGTCGTTGTCCTCGCCATCGTTGCCATGCCGTGGTCGTCCTTGCCATTGTCGTCATTGCCCTGCCGCCCTCATGGCCGCGCCATCGTCACTGCCCTGCCGCCCGCCTGGCCGCGCCATCGTCATTGCCCTCCAGCCACACCATAATTGTGGCCCTCCATCAACGCCATCATCATCTTCTTCTTCCTCCTCACCTTACTCTCTTCAGTTCTTCGTTTTCTTCTTTTCATTCTTCTTTCGTCTCTTCTTCTTCTTCTTCTTCTTCTTCTTCTTCTTCTTCTTCTTCTACGGGCACAGTCTCCCTTTCTCCTTCCTCCGCCATCTTCTCCCTCCACATCAGTCGCCCTCCATCAGTCTCCCTCTCGCCCCCATCCTCCATCAGTAAACGTCCTTCCACGTACTTACCTCTCTCCTTCCTCCGCCATAGCTCCCTCTCTCTTCCTCCACATCAATCTCCCTTCCTCTGCCAGTCTCCCTCCCCCCTCCTCCTTA